CCAGGTTTTTCTGGTCCAGCCAGCCAGAGGAGGGGGGGGACCCTCGCTCCTACCCACCTAGGCAGGAAGGGGCGAGGCTGGGGGCACTCTCGTCTCCCCGCTCCCACAGAATCCTGTCCTCACTGGCCTCTTCTTGCTGGGGCCCCACAGCTACCTACTCTGTCCAGTCTCAGGGCTTCCAGCCACTGTGGGGCCCTTGAAGGAACCCCCACGAGCTGAGCGAGCTTGAGGGGTCTCAGCAGAATCAGAGGTGCCCTTCTACGCCAGCCCCCCCGCCCCCATGTGCAGCTCACTGGTGGACTTGGGCTGAGGCAGGCAGGGCCCCAGGCCAACACTAACCCTCAGCCCTGTGACTGCAGGGCCAGAGGGAGGGGAGTCGGGATTTTCCAGGAACCGGGATGTGGGGAGTGCTGGAAAGAACTTTGGGCTCACAGATCTGCCCTGGACAGCTCAGCCACGTGATGTTGGGGGCAAGCCTCTCTGCTCAGAGCCTTGGCCTACCCATTCAATGTGGAGGGCATGGGCTCCTTAGAAAGTTCTAGACTCTGAGAGTTGGAAGAGGCACAGAGCTGCATTAGATCAAGGTGGCTTCTAGCTGCACAACTCCCGAATTCTAAGGGCAAGAAAGGGACTCGTGCCCTTTCTCCTCCTGCCTTTCCCTCCCACGTGACCCGCTCTGCACACACGTGTGCACACCCTACCTACCTGCACAGGTCGGGACTTAAACCGGCAGCTGGGAGGATGCCAAAGCAATGCTTTCCTGTCTCCAGACTGCCCAGAGTGGCACAGCTGACAGCACTCCTCCCACTGAAGGCAAATTAAAGAATGGATTGTTTGCTGACCGAATGTTCCTAACCCCCACTGCAGGCCAGCCACTGGGGCTGGGCACTGCGTGAGGGGCAACTGTGAATGACAGGGCCCTCTCCCCTGCACGCATACAGGTGGCCATCCAGAGAGGGGCGCAGGGACCCATCAGAAGGAAAGGGGTTGGCAGTGATGACCGGAGGGAGTCACTCTTGACAGGGGAGAGGGTTAGATGAGGACGGAGAAAGTGACATTCGTGGAGAGATGAGTGAGAAAGAAATAGTTGGGGGGGGGGAAGTCCCTGTCAAGAGTCATCCAAAAAGGAGGGGCAGTCAGTGCAAAGGCCTTGAGGCAGGAAAGGATTTGATCCCATTGGAGAAGGTGCGAAGAAGCTAGTATGTAGAACTTGCTGAGTGAGGCCTGAGACCTGGGGTGGGGCAGCTTGGGAGAGTCTCAGAGGGCGGTGGGTAGACTTTACTTTTGACTTTGAAGGAACAGGGAGCCACGGTGGACTTTTGAGCAGAGGAGTCGCAGGATCTGACTCATTATAAAAAGATTCCTTGGGTTACCAGAGGGAGCACAGACTCGTTGGAGGCGGGAGGGTCCGAGACCAGAGCCCTCAAGGAGGCAGCTGCGCCCCCCAGGGGTGGGAGGTGGCGTGGCCACCCAGGGGCCGGCGGCAGGTGGGGAGTGGGTGGAGCGGAATGCTGGGGGCGGAGGCCGGCGGGGGCGCGCAGCTCTCTGAGGGGCGCTGTGGAATGGGAAGCCCGAGTGCGCACCAAGGTCTCGACTGCTAGTCCTGCGTGGCCACGGTCTGAGCAGCGCGTGAGCCGCCGCAGGGATCAGGCCCCTTCTTGAGTGTGCCTCGCTGCCCATCTTGCCCAGGGGCGAGGGGAGGGGCACAGAAATTATTGTATGTAAAGAAGGATGCGGGGGTGGGGGGAGCTTTTCCCTCTTAAAGCTTTGAGAAAAGCCAAACTGTCCATGCCCTCCTCCTGGTGCCAGCACTTTCTTCCCCAGAGAAAACCCATCTTGTTTTCATGCCGCCGAAACCTCAGAGGATCTGGTCCCAATTAACCGACTTTTCTCGTAGCTGCTTGTGCGAGCGCTGAATCCATCACCCGACTCACAGTCGTCCGCCCGGCTTCCGCGGAGCCCGGGGCCAGCAGGCAGGGGGAGCCGGGAAAGGCCGAAGCCTGCGCTGGGGCCGTGGCGCGGGGCAGCGTAGAGCAGGGCCCGGCGGCGTGGGCGGCTGCGCGAGGGCGCCAGCGTGGACGGGGCACCGGAGGGATGGGGGCAGCAGGGCCACTTCGCGGCAGAAAGGTCCCCGGTGGCCTGCGGGGGCCTGAACGTGGCCGGAAGGAGGGAGGGGGGCACGGCTGGGGGGGAGGCAGTGTGGGTGTCCCGACCTCTGTCCCCCGGCTCAGAGTCCCTGGGCTCCTGCCAATAACGCCTCCCTGTGGAGGCTGCCTCAGCCCCTCCGGGCGGGCATCGAGGGGCCTCTGGCCGGGGACGCCGCCGCGCAGACACCGCACGAGGAGCGGCTTGACGCGAGCGTCCCCTCCTCCGCGGCCTCCCGAGCGGGCACGGTCATGTTCCAGTCCTGGCGCCCGCGACTGCCGCTCCAGACGCAAGTGACTCACCCTGCCGGCCTTGCCAAGCTGTCTAGACCTGAGCGCCGCCCCGGGAGGGAACCATCCCGCCCGCCATTTCCTCCGCCGCCGCCCGGCGGAGCCCGCGCGCAACCGGCCCCCCTCGCGGAGCCGCGTGCCCGCCCCGCCGCGCCACCCCCCCCCCGCCCCTGCTGCGTGCGCGCGCCCCAACAGCCGCTTCGAGCTGTGCGGGTGCCTTAGCGGGGATGCCCCACTGCAAATCAGGGGTGCCGAGACACCAGCAATGGGCGACCCCAGAGGGCCTGGGGCCGGAGGACGGGAGGACCCCAGGAGCGGCTCTCCCTGCCCTGAGGCTGTCCCCACCTCTGCCCTCCTGTCTGCCAGCCAGACTCCCCCACGCCTTCCTGAACACCTCGGACCCTGAAGCCAGATTCACGTTCAGAGGGGCCGTCCCCACGGCCGTTGCAGACCCCAGGAGTGGGCTGCGTTTCCAAAGGGGCCTGGGCTTGCTAAAGGTGCTTCCAGGAGCAGGGTGGGGAGCGGGGGTCCCTCCCACCCTGAAGGCTCCGCGCGCATTGCTGTGGTCCCTACCCCAGCACGGGGACCAGAAGTGACAAGAAGAGGCCAAGGCCTCGGGACACCTCTCCACCCCGTGCGGGTCCACGCCGGCGTGCACACCACGGCCGGGAAAGAAGACACGCGAGAACGGGCGGTGCTCACACAGCTCCTAGGCTGACAGTGTCCCCGACCCAGCACTGGGGTGGGGGGCCACTGGGCTCCCGGCCCACTCCCCAAAGGCCACAGCAGTGCCTCTGGAGTTGCTCCTCCAGGCTTCCAGAGCCCAGGGGAGGATGCATGGACAGCCCCTTGTGGAAAAGTCAACTTCCAGAAATCCATCGAGCCTCATTGCCCATGTCAAAGGTTGGGATGCCTGAAGCTTTAAGCTTCGTCCTCGCCTCACTTGCAAGGGCCCCCCACTTCCATGTTCGCCACCCCTCCTCACATCCACAGGAAGGTGACTTGCTTTGGAGTGGGCTCCTGCTGACATAGACCTATGCACCCCACGGGGGGTGGGGGGGGTGGGACCCGCTGCCAAAGTGGCAGCTCAGCAGAGCAGGTAAGAGAGGTCAGCAAGAGGGCTGGCCCAGAGGGGCAGGAGAGAGAGGGGAGGAGGTGGTGGCCACTTACTTTGCCTCACCTGAGGGAGTCTTGACCTCATGGCACTGTGCCGTTCACGCCCTCCCCCATGCCACGCACTGCTGCTTATTTCTCCCAAGGGCCCGGCAAGTTTCCCACGCCCTCCCTGAATTCTTGCCTCCAAAGAGCGCATGCCCGCCCCACTTGCAGCAGAAGCCAGTCTGCATGGTGTACAGCACACTGGCTCTCTTCCTTGGGGGAGAGGCAAGCCCTTGACCTTCAGCCTCCTTCCGTTGGCCATATCTGTGTGCGGGGGCAGGGGGGGGGGCTGGCTAAGGGTCCCCTCACAGGGTGCTATGAAGGCAGCTTGGACATGGGGCTGAGCTGTTCTCAGGGCCTTCCTCGTGCCAATGCCTTCACAAGTCCCTCAAGAGCCGCTGCTCCAGGGTGGAGACCAAGGCGTGAAGCCACCTGCTTGGCTGGATGTTTCTGTGCCCACTACACAAAACGTGGTGCCTCCTGTGGCTGGCAGCCTCAGCCTCCATGCCTGCCAGCCCATCCCTGGCACAGTGGGGCAGGGATGTCAACTGGTCTCATTTTCCGCCCTGTTTTCCAGGCACCAACACAGGGCTGGGGCCTGCTGGGACCCATGGCCGAGTTCCCCCACCACCAAGAGTCGCTCCTGGGCCTCTGTGGTGGCGCAGACAGTTGAACTCAGCACTGTGAAGCTGTCCACAGCCTCTGCAGTGCGGGTTCCATCCCAGCCAGCCGGGGAGATACCCACATGGCGCAGCAGACCTCTCCTGTCTCGCCACTGCTCCCCTCAGCAGTGTGTTTCAGTCAGTCTGCCTGTTCTGTTCCCTGCTCTGGTGAATCCTCTCACCCTCCTGCACATCTGGCCTGTACTCCAGGTCTTGTATGCATGAATAAATAAATCCTTAAAAAAAAGTCGGCTCCTGCTGCATAGGCCCACAGCACCTAGGGCAGCCCAGGGCCCACCGTCTCTCCACACCCCCCGCCTCTGTGCATCCCCGCCCCTGAATCCCAGGTAGGCAGGTCTCTCAGCTCCACTTTCGGCCCCTGACTCATCAGAGCTGGGCCTCCCTCACAGAACCTGGGCTCTCTGGGCAGGACTGCCTGTCAGGGAGCTGTCCACTCTTTCCTTGCTGTGGAGACTCACCCCTCCACGTCCCTATTTGCCTCCTTGGCTTGCACACCTTCCTTCCCTTTTTGGGCAGTCATCGAGTGTTTAGACAGTGTGCTCTGGGAGAATCGCTTTCTTGTATTGAACTTGAGTGCACTTTTCCAGAAGTTTCCATCATGTAGCCCCTTTTCCTCCCTCCCAGAGAGTCCCAGCAGCCTCTTTTTCCATCCCAGCCTCCAGCTCTTCCAGGGGAGGATGCCTGAGGGGTGGTGCACACCAGGAGGCGGCAATCTTCAGCAGCCATGGCCTCGAGCGCTGGGCTGGCCTGGTCCCTATGCAAGAGGATGGCCCCCCAGCCTGTGGAGATGCTCTTCTCCACGCCTGCCAGTTCCTCCATGCCCCACGCCATGCCACGGACAGAGCTGCTGAGCCTGCTGCGTGTACTGGCTCCACTGGGCTGGGAGGAGAAGGGGAATTTTCTTCCAGAATACACAGGGGCTGGTTTCTTCCTACTCCTCGGGGATATGGGGAGGGTGGGGAGGCCATGGTTGCTCCTGCCAGATTTCCCAGTCTTAGGAAAGATCCACAGGAAAACCCACAAGAATTTGAATGTCTGAGCTGGGGCTATGATTGAAATGAAATTTCTTAAAAAGAAGGAAAGAAAAACAAAAACAGAAGAAGAGGAGAAGAAAAGACTGGGAAAAAAAATCCTACCCCAGCCCCTGCAGCAGGGGTGGGGGCAGGAGTGGGGGGGTGTTCTGGGAAGGTCTGTGCACCTCAGTGGGTCCCTGGGGCAGGGCTGGCCCTTCAGCTCAAGTTCTGGGGCTCCCAGTCCTCAGAATGGCGTAGAACTCCAAAGCCTCCAGCAGGGACGCAGGCCGTGCCCCAGTCTGGTTGGGTTCCCTTGCAGTTCTGCCTGAGTCCCGCCCGCGCCTCACGCAGGGACGCAGGGAGACCACTGCTGTCACCCAGACGACAGTTACCGCCGCGGTCCTCACGTCTCCTTGCCTGGAGACTTGCTCTGTCTGTCTCTAAGAGACAGCTGGCTCTCGGGCAGGTCGGCTGACTCCGTGGGCACCAGCCACCGGGCAGCTCCTGCCTGCCTTCTCTGGCCAGCAGCTTCTGGGGAAGGGCAGCCGTCACAGAGCGGGGGCTTCGGTGGCTGGTTGAGGACAGGCCGACACGTTTTATTCCAGAGTCATTCGCAGAAGGCCAAAGACAGAGTGGCGGCGGGGGGGAGGAAGCAGTGGGGTGCGCATAATAACGTGCAGGTCGACCCAGTTTTCCGTGGGTGCCAGGCCCTGTGCTAGGTATTTCCTATGAGTAATGACCTCATCCCACCTGTTGCAACCCCAGGAGGGAGGTGTTCTCGTCGTCCCCATTGGGTGACGAAGGCGGCACGCAGAGCTGGGCCCTCTGCCTGAGGCCCGCAGCTGGGGGAGGAGGCGGATTCGAACTTAGGAAGCTTCCGTGGGATGGCAGCGGCGAGTGCGGGCCACCTGCGGTTAGCCCTGCGCCCAGGCCGCCGCCGGGAACTCGGCGACCGAGGCAGGAGCGCCCTCTCCTGGAGGAGCCCAGCCCCAGCGCGTGCTCGCCCGCCGCGCCCGCCGCGCCCCGCCCCGCCGCGCCCCGCCCCGCCCCGCCCGCCGCGCCGCGCCCCGCCCCGCCGCGCCCCGCCCCGCCGCGCCCCGCCCCGCCCCGCCCGCCGCGCCCCGCCCGCCCCGCCGCGCCCCGCCCCGCCCACTCCCCAGCGGCGGTCTCCGGGGAAGCGCCCCAGCGCGCGCGGAGCCGCGGACCAATGAGAAGGCGCGGTGGGGAGGACGCCCGCCCCCGCCGAGGCCCCGCCCTAGGCCACCCCGGTGTGGGCGGGAAGAGCGCGGACCGGGGCGTGATTGGCAGTCGGACCGGCCAGTTAACCCGGGTGTGGGCGGGGCGCGGCCGGGCTCGCGAAACATGGCGGGCTTCGGCTTCGCCTGCGGCGCCGGCGGCTCGGAGGACGAGGACGACGACGGCGTGTCCCGGGCGGCCGTGGCGGTGTTCGCGAAGCTGAAGGTGCCCAGCCCGCGAGCCCCCGCGGCGGGAGGGCCGGGCGTGCGGCGGGAGGCGGCGCGCGGCCCGGCGGCAGTGCCGCTGCGCCCTGTCCCGGTCGGGCCTCTGGCCGCCTCCCGCCTCGGCCGGGTCCGCTCCGGGAGCCGCGGACGCGGTCGCAGGGGCCCCGCAGGACGCGCACTCGCCCCCGGGCTGGGGGCGACACGGCGCGGGCACTGGCCTCGGGGAGGCGGGCGGCATCCGTGTCCCGCCGGCGGCTCGGCCTCGCCGCCGCGGTGGCGGCGGGAGCGAGGACACCGGCCCGGGAGGTCGGTCATGGCCCCCGGCCGCTCGCTCGGCCGGGTGGGCCCTCTGGCTCCGCTTACCTGAGGTCCCATCGCCGGGTGCCTACATGGAATGTGGCGCAGCCCCCTAGTTGCCAACAGGCCAGACTGCCACGGGAGCCCTGAGGCGGCGCGCGCTCCCGACACTGGCCCCGAGATGGGGCGATGGGGCCGAGGACCAGGGGGATTGAACTGGGGCTGGGAAGGCGCCGGAAGGAGCCTTTCCACCCATCCCTGATTTTGAACCCCCTGTTCTTGCTTAGGGCCTGAACTGTCCGCTCATGGAGGGGCTTCATATCTCAGAACCCAAGACCATTCGGGAACTGCTGTGCAGCCCCTCCAAGTACCGCCTGGAAATCCTGGAGTGGTTGTGTGCCCGGTAGGAAACCCTTGTCTTCTCCAACTCTGCTCCCCTGGGAAGGGGGGGCTGCACAGTTTTCTCAGTGCTGCCCTGCCAGAGGCCTGCATGTGCCTCGGGGCACGGTCCAGCCTGCAGCTTAGGTACAAGCGGCAGCTCTGGGACAGCTCTTTCAGGGTGAAAGTGCCCCCAGGGCTGCTGAGGTTGGCTTCTGCGCCTTTGCCCATTGTGGGGTTTAACCACTGCTTTGGGAGCTGGCAGGACCCTGAGGACACATCCACTTCTGTCCATTCATTATCAGACTCAGAAGGGTACGGTCAGGCCGCACTGAGAACGGTCCTGACTCACTCCTGAAAAGTGACAAACACGGCCAAGGCCTTGTGTCCCAGTCCCTTGAGTCAAGGTGTGGCCTGGTGCATGCCTGGCACTGGGCAAGGGCAGTGAAGCCTGCCCAGAGAGCAAGGGGAAGGTCCAGGAAGTCCCGAGGAATCTCTTGGGAGCAGCCGCCCAGGCCCGAGTGGCTGCCTTAACGCCCAGGGTTGCATCCGGAGAGGTACAGGCTGTGCGCTGACAGCAAGGCCTTGGGCACGCCTGGGGGCCATTCCCGGAATCTCAGGCACAGGTGGGTGGCCTCCGGGAGCTGGGGTTTCAGCAGCCACAGAAGGTCCAGGCCCAAAGCCAGTCCGGCACGCTTTGCAGGGTGAGGACTGTCACACCAGGCACCCCCTTGGCTGAAAGCTGAGCGAGGCTGGAAGCTGCGACCTGCAGTAGCTTCATCTTTTGCTCGCTTAGGCTTTTATGAAAACAGCCTCTGTTGACGGGTCCGCGCATCAGCATTTTCTCTACATATGACTCCATGGCCAGAGGCCGGGGGCATTTGGGGGCTGCCATGGCGGGCCCCAGAAATAGAGAATGAAGAGCTGGCTCCTGACCTCGACCAGCCTGGCGTCTGGACGGCACTCAGGTGCTGCTGCCGGAACAGCCGAGGTGAACTCGGCACGTGCTGCCAGGTTGGGCGACGAGCAGAGACGCCAGGGGTCCCGGCCAGGCCTCCCACCAACTCCCGCGCGACTAGAGCAGCCGGCTCCTTGCTGCCTCTGAGAGAGCTCCGAGCACGAGGAACAGCACTTTTCCCTCTTGGGCAGGCATTTCGTTTTTTATTGTGAAAGTTTTCATTTTGGTATTCAGATGCCCGTTTCTGAGGTAAACTTCCAGAAATGTTTTGTTTCTCCCACAGTTTATGTAGTTGAAATTCATGTAAAATCATCTCTTTTGCGGCTCTTAGTGCTTGCAGGAGAGTCCACTTTAGAGCGGGTCAGGAGGACTTGGCGGGCCGCTGCAACCCACCCAGGCTTGACTGGTTTTGTTTTTTCTCTGCAGGGTCTGCCCCTCCTGGCAGGAGCAGTGCAGCATGCAGAAGGGGGCCCCGACTGAGGCAAAAATCCAAGGTGGGTGTGTGGAATCAGGTGCTGGATTTGGGCCGGTTCTCGGCCTGGCCACGGCCTCCTTAGCAAGATGGAGTAAATTTCCTGCAGAACCGGAGTTTTCTTCTAGATCTTGCTAGGGTAGAGCCTTCTAGACCCTGGACAGAGGTGCTATGGTCAGAGACAGTGGCTCCGTGTCCACCTCTGGTGTGTGCAGATGACACATGTTCCGGGGGGGTTCGCCGGAAAGCTCGGGTGCAATCCCTTATTTTAGGCCTTCAGAGAGGGCCAGTAACTAGGTTCAGGTCACACAGCCAGAGGCTTTGTGGGGACCTGGCTGTGTCTCCCACCTGTCTGCTGGTCTGCCCCGGTCTTCTGCGCCCAGCCCAGCCACTTGTGGGCCTGCCCACGGGAAAGAGCTTAGCCCTGTCCCGTAGCGCACCCCACGATCCGCAGCGCCCTCTCCCAACTGGCTGCGCATCTGTGATAACACCCGCATTTGTGTGCTCCCGCAGAGATGGCGAACCTCGGCCACGAGCTACTGTTGTGCGGGCCGGATGACCAGGAGCTCCTAAGGGTATGAGAGGTCCTGGGGGGGTGGCCGGGGTGCGCTGGGAGGGGCAGCTTTCCATAGACCTGGGCACCGGCATCCCCACCCCCTGCTTCTCAGCCCCCCGGGGCAGGAGCCCCTGGGTTCCCTTGGCAGACCCAGCTGTGCCTCCGGCTCTGGAGGAGGTGAGGAAGTCCTGTCTCAGCCTCATTTCACAGGAGAGGTGATCACTCATTCGAGGTCCCTGGCCCCAGAACCAGGCCTGGCCCTTGGCGCAGCCTGCCCACAGCTTTCCACACAGAGATGACTCTAGGCCACTGCACCCCTGTCAGACCCTGCCCCTGCCCCGGACATTAGGTTTTCAATCTGGAGACGATCGTTTCTGCATTTTGGAGTCACACCGCTGTGAGTGTCCCTACACACGTGTTTGACAGAGGAGCTGGGAGAGGACTTGCGGGCTTATGTCAGGACTGTTAACTTTTCTACAGTGGTTGCATCCTCTCACCTCTCCACAGCAAAGCAAGGGCCCGACTTCTCTGCGCCCGCCCCAGACTTGCTGTTGTGTGTCTTTCATTCCAACCGCGCAGGTGCGGGCATGGGCCGTCCCAGTTCCTGCTGAAGCTGAAGCCCGCGCTTGCTGGCCCGCTCTGGATCTTTACAGAAACGCCTCCGCTCAATGCTCCAGCCCACCTCTTAGTTGGATTATTTGTCTTTTTATTGTCGAGTCGTAAGAATTCTTTATGTCTGCTCGATACCAGTCACATAGGATTTGATTTACACCTTTCTTTCATTCTGTGGATTATCTTTTTCACTTTTATTTGTCAAATGACCCCTTATTGAAGTATTTTCTTTTGTGGCTTGTGTCTGGTTGGGCTCTCCACCACACCACCGCTGCTGCTGTCATCCATGACGTCGTAAGCGTGGCAGCCATCAACATTACAGCCCCCAGCCTGAGCAGGCGCCAGGATCTCTTTAACCGTTCCAGAGAGTTCTCAAGCTAAAGATGGTACTGCGTCTTTTGGGCAGCATCAAGCCATCTCATCAAAAGTGATCTTTGTGCTTATGCTTTTCTGTTTCTTCCTGTCTCTTGGCACTTCCTTGCGGGACTGGATGAGGCTGAGGCAGACGGTGCCCCCTCAGGTACTGCCTCAGTCTGGGCCCGTCTGTCTTAATGGTCAGTTTCACTATCCTCCTCAGACCCTTCGAACCACCCATTGCCTTGCCGATGTCCTCACCAGCTATTTTGGGAGACAGACCCAGGGGCCAGTCTTGGGGGCCAGGGAAGACAGGGCTGCCTGGGTCTTGTTCCCACCAGTGCCCCTTAGTGTACGACTTTGGCCTCTTTGGAGTGGCGCCCCGGTGGCTGGGTTGAGACAGCCAGTGTCAGATGAACCCAGACTCAGGAGGCCCTAGGAAAGTTGCACCTTGGTCACCTCTGAGCTGAAGCCAACCCTCGTGATGCATTATTTGGAGTGCAAAAGTTCTTAGTTTTGGTGAAATCCAATTTATTTGTCTTTTCTTTTCTTGCTTATGCTTTTGGTGTCATAGCCATGATGCCATTGCCAAGTCCAAAGTCACAAAGATTGGTATCTGTTTTCTTCTAATAGTTTTAGCTCTTATATTTTGATCTTTGATCCTTTTTGTGTTAGCTTTTGTACGTGGTACAAGATAAGGGTCCGATACACGTAGTTGTCCGCTCGTCCTGGCACCATTTACTGAAAAGACCACCCTTTCCTCATTGAATTGTCTTGGCACACTTGTTAAAAATCGATTGATTGTGCATGTAAGTATTTATTTGTGGATCCTCCATTCTGTTCCAGCAGTCTGTCTGTCTCAGTCACTCTAGCTTTGCTCTAAGTTAGGCCACGTGAATCTCCCAACTGTATTCTTTTTGAAGATTGTTTTGGCTATTAGAGGTCTCTTAAATTTCCACATGAACTTTAGAATCGGGACAAAAAAAGCCAGCCAGGACTTCAATGGAGATGGCAAGGAGTCTCCAGGCCACTGTGGGGTTGTTGCCGGCGACTGTATCGAGTCTTCTGACCTATGAATGGGAACTCTTTCCATTTATTTAGGTTTTTCCACAAAGATGTTTTGCAGGCTTCAGTACAAGTGTTACACTTGCTAAATTTATTCCTAGGTATTTTATTGTTTGTGTTGCTACTGTAGATGGAATTGTTTCCCTCATTTCTCTTTAGTGTTTGTTGTTCATTCCTAGCGTGCACGCTCATATCCTGCCCTTGCTAACCTTGTTTACTAGTCTGTTCTTTTAGTGGATTTCTGTAAGCTTTTCTGTATACGAGATCGCGTCATCTGTAAATAGAGCTGGTTTTACACCTGCCTTTCACATTTGGATGCTTTTTCTAGCCTGGCTCCTCACTAGCACCTCCAGTCTGAGGTTGAACAGCAGCAGCAGAGTGGGCTTCTCTCTTCGGCAGTGGGGCAGGCAAGCGCCTGGTCTTTACCAAGGAGTGAGGTGTCATAGAGGCTCCTGATCACGCTGCGGAAATTCCTTCTGTTCCCAGACTGTGTAGTGTCTTTATCTCGAAGGAGAGTTCCGGCGCCTCTCCTGCAACCGTTGAGGTGATTGTGTAGTTTAGCCCTTGTTCTTTTCTTCCTTCGTGAGAATTCAAGTTCCCGTCTGCTGTCGTTTCACCTGACCTGACTTTGCCAGTTCTCCACGGCGGTCTGCAAGGTTTGGTTCTCTTAGCTTTCATTCATCTGAGTAGGTGTGCTTCTTCCTTCTTGAGAAGGTGCTGCACTAGGTGCAGAATGGTGAGTTGGAGACCCCTTCTTCTGGCCTCCACAGGTCCCCGTGGGAAATCTGCAGTCATGTGAGTCATTGTCTTCCCATGGGTCACCAAGAACGTTTCTCCCCCATTTATGTTTCTTTGTCATCAGTGTTCAACAATTTGGTTGCAGGTGTTTGTGGGAAGATTTCTGTGGGCTGGTCCTGTGTGGATTTGCTTGGCTTGTGGAGTCTATCACTTTGTATCTTTTGCAAAATTTGCAAAGCTTTCTGCCATTGTGCCTTTGGATTATTTTTTCTGCACCACATGCTTTTCTCCTCCTGGGCCCCCACAGTACACAATTCAGACCCTCTGTCATCAAATCACAGCTCCCCCAGACTTCTACTTTTTTTAAACACTTTTGTCTCCCTCTCTTGCTCATTGCATAGTTTCTGTTCATCTGTTTTCCAGGTCACTGACTCCCCTGTCATTGTGCCGCTGAGTCCATCCACTGCGTTTCTTCTTGTTTTTCTGTCCCAAAGTTTCCTTGTGGTTTAACAACATTTTCTGTTCTCTGCTGCTGCTTTCTATTTTAACTTTGGTTTCAAGAGTGTTCGCGATGGCGTAGTCACCGTTGTTCTAACGACTGCTTTCAAACTGTCAGGTAATCCCAGCGCCTGCGCCAGCGTGTCCATGGGGCCTCTGCCTGGTGTCTTTGCCTGCATGTGCAGACCCTTGTCTCTTCACGGGCCGTCCCGTGGGGCTGCTCCCCGGCCACTGTGATGCAGCTTTGTCCTGGCTCCTGGGAAGATGTCCGTCACTTGCGGGGGGCTGTGGTTCAGCACCCTCCCGGGTGGGTTCACACCTTCCACCCACACTCGGGCCTGCGGTCTGGGGTCAGCTCCGCCGACTCCGCGCCCTCGTGCTGCTGCTCGGCCCTCCTGCCTGTGCCGCCCCGCCCCCCGCCGCACCCCCCCAGGGCCCAGCCTGGGCGTCTCTGCCGGCCTAGTCATCAGTCTTGGGTCTGCTCAGCGCTGTCAGGTCCTCCCCATGTGGGCTGGGAGTGAGCCTGGTGCTCCCGCACACATGGATGGGGGCCCTTCTTCTATGGTGCCCACTGGGGTCAGGGCGGGGGCGCCTGTCCGGCTTGGCCACGGACAAATGTGGACTTTGTGTCCAGGGCCGGGCCTGCCCCCAGAAGCAGCTACACTTCTTGGACCAGTTGCTGGATGCAGTCCGCAGCCTGGGCGCGGGATGTACCGGGGGCTGCAGGTAAAGGCTTAGGGTGGGCTCCGCATGGAGTGCCCGGGGCTGGGGGCCCAGTGCACCTCCGGCTGGGGTTTTACATCACACGCTGGTGGCAGCAGCTGCATGCTGATCGGGAGCTGTTAGGTTCTCATTCGGGTGCTGCCCACCAGGCTGGAATGGGAGAGTGGGGGAGACTGGCAGCGGTGGGGGGCCATCACCATGCCTCTGCCTGCTCCCCGTTGGCTGCCCGGCTCCTGGGCTTCCCTGTGTGACCTCAGCCCTGGGTTGCCTGTGCAGCACCAGGGAGCACTTTGAGGATACCCGGGAGAAGAACGAGGCATTGCTGGGGGAGCTCTTCTCCTGTTCCTACTTGCAGTCGCTTCTGAGCCCCGAGTGTGACCCGTGGCCTCTGGACATGCGGCCCCTCCTCGAGCAGCGTAGTGAAGAGTGGAGGAGGTGCGTACTCTGGGCTGCTTGGCTCCGTGGCCTGGGACAGCCCTTGCTGTTGTGGCTCGCGGGGTGCCCTGTGGCCGGGGGCCGCCTAGAGCTGGGGGTGTACCCCTTCTCTCCCTACAGGGCGAGCCCCTCTGTTGAATCAGAGGAGGAGAAAGTGGTGGAGCTGACCAAGCAGCTGCAGGAGAGCACCACCAGGCTACAGGCGCTCAGGGCAGAGGTGAGGGGCGCTGGGGTGGGGGTGGGGCGTCCGGCTGGAGAGGCCCTGCTTTGTGCTCTTACATCGAGTGAGTGAGGGCAGGTGATATGGCCTCTCCCAGCCTCGGGTGTCCCATTTGTATTGTGAGCAATGCAGTGGGGTGTTGGGGCCCGAGGGAGGCAGCGCATGGGTAGATCCGTGGTGGTGGGCACCCCGCCCTGGCCATGGGGTGGGGGTTGTCTGCCTGAAGGACATTAAGGATGGACCTCAGGTGGGCTGCAGCCAGACCCAGTGCTGTGCTTGCCTGTGGGCTCCCAGCAGCTATGGGCTGGGCTTCCTAATTCTCTGGAGGGCGAGAGCGAGCCCCCGGTGGCGGGGGCGGTAGGGCTAAGGCCCAGCTGCTCTGTTCAGCTCCTGTGATTCTTCTGCCTTTATGTCTCCCAGTTGGCAACTGGAGCCTCGGGGTGGCCCGCAGATGCCGCCCCGGATGTGGGGAAGGACTGGTGCCACAGGGACTGGCTGAGCAGCCTCGCGGGACCTTTTGTCTCTGGTTCTGCAGTGCTTCACGCCCCATCAGCGGGGGACAGCCACGAATGGGGCTGACACCAGCACCTTGGACCAGCAGCTGCGCCTGGTCACCTCAGACTTCCACCAGCTGGTGGTAGCTTTCCTGCAAGTGTGCGAGGACGAGCTGGGCGACTGTTGCCAGCGCCCGGGCGCCTATCTGCACCCGTGTGGCCCCGTCGTGCAGGCTGTCCACCAGACTCTGGCTTCGTGCAGCCAGGTGAGCCACCCCCTGCCCCCTCCGGCTCCACCATCAGTGTGAGGGACTCGAGGGCTGGCACCAGTACCCGGGAGGGGCTGGGCCGCAGGCTCTGGACCTTGGCTTCTTGGGTGGCTGGGGGTCCGTGTTTGTGCTGCTACAAAGAAGGGTGGGGGCTGGAACCCTAACCCATGGACATGTCTGGAGGGTTAACTGAGCCGAGGCCCGAGAGGCATGTGCCCTGCTCTGCCATCTGGGTTGACTGCCCGAGACCCTGTCTCTCTCCTCGGCTGCTATCCCCGTGTTGGCCTCACTGTCCTGATCGCTCAGCGTGTCACAGCCTGTTCCTTTTTGTGTGGGCACCCACGGCCCTGACCTAGTCAGACAGACAGGAGCGGGGTCTCCGGCATGAGCTGACTGCCGCAGCATGGACCCGTTCTTCCCTGCCCCAGACCCGCAGGCTACACGCTGGGTCCGCCGTGACTCACAGCAGTTACCAGGCCGGAACTCTGACATCGACGTGGGGCTTCCCAGCCTACCCAGCCCACCCAGCCCACCCAGCCCGCGAGTAGGCTACGCCGGGCGGTCCCTCCAGCAGGGAGTCGGGCGCAATTTTCTCCGCTCAGGACCGCCCCCTTGGCGACACATTTTCCCACCATGCCCTGTGCTCAGGAGAGGCAGAGGCTTGGTGCACCCACTGGGCCAGGAGGGGGATGGGCTTGCTCACAGCCAGCTGCCCTGGGGCTGCAGGGCCCGGGGAGCAGTGTACATTAGGGGTGCACCGGGTGGGAAGCAGGAGATGCCGCCTGTCGGTCTGACCTCCAGCACTGACTCCCGCGTGTCCCCCAGCTGTTGAGAGTGGTCGTGGCGGTCACTGACACGTCGGCCGAAGCCGTGGCGATGGCGAAGCAGCAGCAGGACGAGCCAATCTGCTGGAGTGGCAGCAGCTCCGTGATGAGTCTTGGTACGTGCCTGTCAGGGACGAGGGTCCGGGCCGGGTGCGCCCTCCTCATGTGCGGGCTCCTTCACACAAAGGCATTTGGGGAGCCTTTGCAGACTGACCCTTCCTCTTTTTGCGAGGCTTGAGGGCCCACCTACCTTGGAGCCCTGCCCGGACAGGCCGTGCCACGAGTGCCTTCAGCAGCCGTGGGGACGGGGTCGTGCTCCCGAGCTGGCGCCGGGGCGGGCGCCGTTTCCGCCTCTATCCCGCAATGCTTTTTCCTGTCATCGCTTTTTATGTCTTCGTCTAAGTGTCTCAGTAAGTCGTGTGCATTTGACAGTAGGTTCTTTCCTTGAACTGCTTGGGAGCGTGACACTTGGCTGGCTTGGGTCAGGCAGCTGCGCCGTTCCCGTCCCTTGTTACTCAGCCCAGGGGCGCCTCCGGCCATCACGGTCACTGTCCAGAGCGCTACGGTGAGGGGTAGGCGGCGCTGGGCGGGTGGGGGGTGGCGGGGTGAGTGGCAGGGTGTCCGAAGGGGCTCACGTGACCGCCGGTGAGCTCCGGGGGGCAGCGCCAGACGCGGCGCTGGGCGGCGTGTTCGCGGGCCCCTTGGATCATCCTGCGGGCTCTGTGCTGCCACTCGCTGTTGGGCAGCACAAAAGTACATCTGAGCTTTTCGTGAAATGTAATTTTCTAAAGACATTCATCGCAGCCTCGCTTCCTCCCATGCCTGCGCCAGCGCAGCCCGCGGTCCCTGTCTCAGGTCCTGGGGCCTCGTGTGAGCAGCAGCCGCGGCGGCCCGTGACCCAGCCCCATCAGAGCAGGTGGCGCCGGGCTGGGCCCTGCCGAGCACCTGCGCCGCCCGTGGTTTCTCCCGGCGCCTGCCGCTGCACGCGGCATGTCTGGGGTTGGGCTTCCTGTGGGTGACACGACATGAACCGTCTCGTACCCCGTGTGCCTGTCGCTGGTCTGGCAGGGGTGTGACGGCGCTTCGTTGCGCCCTTTGCGCTTCGCCAAGTAAGGTGGTGCCTCTCTGTGACTGCAGCGCGCACGGAGGCTCCCTGTTTTGAGGAAGTGCCTGTCTGCCTCTGACTCATCTGTTGGGTTGTTTGTGCTTTTCCGGGTGACTTGCAGCCCCGCTGGTATTCTGGATCCCAGCCCCCGGCTGCTGGTGCGCGGCTCATGTCTGTCCCACCGCGTGGCTTACTTCCCATGCCTTTCCGGGGTCTTTCGATGGACAGCAGCTCGCAAGTGGTCCGTTTACCCATCATCTCTTTATGGCTAGCGCGTTGGCATTTTATCAAAGAACGCATACCTGTCCTGCTGTCACAAGGATACCGGCCTATGTCCTCCAGAAACCGTACGGGTTACTTTGACGTTTAGAGTTGATTTGGGGGAGAGGGGCAGGGAGGGGTCCAGTTTCATTTCATTCTGTTTGCATACACAGCCGTCCCAGCGGCACTCACGGGACCCTCCCTTCCCCGTCCATCAGCGCCCTGGTAGTGGTTACGCAGCCACGTGTGCGTGCGTTTCTGCCGTCTCTCGGCTGTTCGATGCCCCTGTTCTACCCCCACGCCGCTGCTGCGTTTCAGCAGGCTGGAAAGCAGTAAAACCAACCTGAACAACAGGGCAGAGCGCTTCTGCCACTTTGTCTTTCCCCTCACAGCAGCTCTCTGAGGTGTGAGCCACGCAGCATAAAACCACACTCGTGAGCGTGCACTTCACTGGGGCTTAGTGTATTCACAGTTGTGTGACTCTCACCCCCGAGTCTGGCGCTTGCATGTGTCTCCCCCACGAGGAACCCTGGAGCGCCCCTCCCTGGCCCTCCGGCGGTGTGCACACGCCTGCCGTGGACATTCCCGTGGGCGGACCCACCGCCTGGCCGTGGGCGTCGGCTGTGCTCAGCGCGGGGCTCCGCAGCGTAGGCCGGCCCATCTCCCCCCGTGGCCCCAGTGTGCAAACAGACTCGTCCCGGGCTCGCTGCTGCCACTTGGCAGCTGTGAGTGTGTGTGTACAAGTCTGCGTGTAAACACGGGCCTTTCGCTCCCTCGGCTGTGAGGTGAGTGGAATGGTCGGGCTGTGTGCGCGCTGTCTGTGTAACTGGCTCTCATCCCCTCTCCCAGCTCTGCCTTCTTACCCCACTCACATCTGACACACTGACGACAGGTGCCTGCGCCTGGGCCTGCAGTGCGGCCCGCGCCGGCCAGGCTCAGCCAAGAATGGGACGAGGGTGAGCCAGCGAAGCAGGATCGGGGTGGGCTGGAGGAGTGTGGAGGGAGGCGCGCCTGAGGAGAAATGAGCCCAATGGGAGCATCACCGTCCGGTGGGGAGGGGTGCTCCCGGGCCCACTCACCACCCCGAGATTCCCAGGCTTCACCGTCGCCTTGGGGACGGGCAGGGCCTATCTTCTGTGTTACTGAGCGAAGCACAGCCGGGAGGAGACCTGAAGGAAGCGCCCTCATCCCCACGGTGGGGCGGGAGGGAGCCTAGTGGTTGCCCGGCGGCCACTGTGGAACTTGCTGTCCGCCTTGCCCCCGGCCAGGCAGCTGCTCCCGAGGCGCGTGCAGGGTAGGCTGGGTAGCCGAGGCCGGGGCAGCAGGTTGCTGCTGGGGGCACATGTTCTTGCTCCCATCAAAATTGAGCTCGAACATGAAATAACTTGAACTCACCTGGCAAGTGGGCCCTGGCCTGGGGTTGGCCCACGCTCCAGGGCTCTGCTCACCGTCTGGGGCACTGGGAGCCCAGCCTGCTGCCGCCCTGGGGTGCTGCTCTCACCTGGCCCTCTGTGTTTTTCTCTTCTCTGCAGCCACCAAGATGGACGAGCTGGCCCAGAGGCATAAGGTCTTCCCTGGCGGACCGCACACAGGCGCCGGCTAGCCTGGCAGCAGAGGAGCAGCCCTGAGCGGCAGGGCCCCTGCGTGGGTCCCACACAGCTCTGGGGCGGGGGGGGGGGGTGGGAGCTGGTGAGAAAGAAACCTCAGCTTCTAAGAACTGGCCTCCCGCCTGCTCTCTGCCCCTGCTCTTCTGTGCGACCGCGTGAGCGCCGCCTTCCCTCTACATCCGGCCTGGCTGGAGGGGCCGCTCGCAGCCTTCCCTTCTTCCCGCCCCGGGGGTGCTGAGTCCAGGACTGAGTCTGGGGAACGGGAGGCCCAGCTGTGTCCTCCTACCCCATTGACCACCTCCTCCCCCCCGCCCCGGCTCTGTACCTGCCACTGCCCAGCCCAGGTATGACAGCTCCCTGTGCCACCTGCCCCGCTGCCTTCTCCCCCAGGTTGCCTGGCAGCCCTTTCGACAATCCAGTGGGTGGGCTCCGTGTCTCCTTCCACCCCAGGGCACCAGGGCCTCTCGGGAACCCAGTCTGGCCTAGCAGTTCATCTGTCGCAGCCGCCACCCTCCCGCCCTGCTGCCTGCCTCGGCTGGGCCGGGGTGGGGAGGGGACTTCCCCCTGAAGTGAGAGCTGAACTGAGAGCTGAACTGAGAGCTCCCCCCCCCCAGTCTTCTGCTGACCTCTTACTCCTGCTTGGCCCTGCGTTGCCCCTGTGGGGGCTGGGGACAAGGAGGCCCCCTTCCCCCTGGGCAGCCGGATCCTTAGGCCTGGCCCGGGCTCATGCCCAGGGTGCTGCTGGGTGGGGTGGGCAGACAGACCAGCCCTTGCTCGCCACCCTTCTGCTGCACCAACGGCCTCATGGGCCAAGGGGTTCAGGAGGGCCAGAGGCAGGCACCCTGCTTGCCTCCCTGGGCCCCAGCATGAGGCCAGCCCTGCAGGCGCCCGCTGCGGAGTGGGACGCAACCCCATCCTGGGCCACGGAGGCCTTCTAACTTCCCTTCCATCTGGACCAAGCCCATCACCTTGATCCCTGGGTGGGACTGGGGCAGTCCAGGGTCTGGGGCTGTGTGCGCCACTGGGGTGGCCTCCTGCCCCTTTCACTTGGCCGGGCCTTGAAAGGGGAGGCCTCTTGCCTCCCTGCCTGCCGGCCTCTCCCGCAGTCGCTGCCAGATGCTCCTTAGATATGGCTCATTACACCCCGAAGGAGGTACCATCTTTCCTTCCGGTGAAAGATGAGCCCTCCAGCTGGGCAAACCGCTGCCTGGCTGTGGGTGGTCCTGGTGCTAGATTCCCCCCCACCCCCGCCCGCTGCGGCTGAGCCCAGTGCGAAGGCACCTGGTTCCTACCCCCTGGTTCCACCCCTGAGTCACTCACCGGCCTAGGGGCAGGCCCCTCCCTAGTCCCCGGGACCTCGCCCTGGAGAAGGGCTCCGTGGCAGGGCGGAGGGAGACTCGCGCTTCCTCCTCATGCCTGTGATGACTCGGTCCCCAGCCCACAAGCCTGCTCGGCGGTGGCCGCGTGCGGCCGGGCGCCTGCCACCCCGTCTGTAAACACGGGGCGTGTGGCCCTGTGGCTGAGCGAGCGAGGGGGCGGCTAGCCGGCCACACAGGTCCTGCGGCCTCTGGCCTCCCTGTTGCCCAACAGGCGGCTGGGGGCGGACCGGGACTGCTGATTAAAGGGCGCCTGGAGCTGCCTGTGCGGAGACAGGTGCCCAGCAGCCCAGGAAGCCAGCCAGCGCCTGCCCCAGGTAAGCCAGCGCGGCTGGGTGGCGGGCAGCCCCGGGAGCCCCGAGGCAGACAGGCCGGACTGGCATCAGCACCTGTGTGCCAAGGAGGTCAGGCTGGCCAGGCCCGGGAGGTGGGGGTCTCTGCCAGGGCTTTTGACAATGACTGTTTCCCAGCTGCTGGCCCAGGGGTGCAGATCTAGGCAGCCATGCCCACAGCTCCCAGCCAAGGTGTCCCGGGGAAGGTACTGTCCGGGCTGTGCCTGAGGATGAGGGCCGGCCGTTCTCCCCTCAGCGTACCTAGGTCCGGGCACAGAGGGCCACCCTCTTGCCATTCGGTAGGTGATGCTAGTTAGGGGCTTCCCAGAGATGGACGGGGACCGCACGGAGGGCCTCATCCCGGACAGAATGAACCGCCCCTGGGCCCTGGCCTCTAGCCCGGGTGGCCCCTGGGCCATCTTCCCGGATGTGGCCCTTGACAACCGCTCCCGGAATTGGAGGTCGCGCAGGTGGGGTCGGGCAGGAAGCGAACCTAGACGGGTCGGAGCCTTGACCTGGAACCACCACACGTGGCCCTCAGGTTTGTGCTTCTTGCCCTGGCAGCTTTCATTTCACTTGCCCCTGAGCAAATCACCATGTCCGAGGCACCCCTGGCCAACACCTTTGTCTTCCTGGACCTGGAAGCCACTGGGCTCCCCAACATGGACCCTGAGATCGCCGAGCTGTCCCTGTTTGCCGTGCACCGCTCCTCCCTGGAGAGCCCAGAGCGCGACGAGTCCGGCACCCCCGTGCTGCCTCGGGTCCTGGACAAGCTCACACTGTGCATGAGCCCGCAGCGTGCCTTCACAGCCAAGGCCAGCGAGATCACTGGCCTGAGCAGCGAGTGCCTGGCGCGGTGCCGGAAGGCTGGCTTCAATGGCGCCGTGGTGCGGACGCTGCAGGCCTTCCTGAGCCGCCAGGAGGGCCCCATCTGCCTGGTAGCCCACAATGGCTTCGATTATGACTTCCCCCTGCTGTGCACGGAGCTGCAGCGCCTGGGTGCCCACCTGCCCCAGGACACGGTCTGCCTGGACACGCTGCCCGCACTCCGGGGCCTGGACCGTGCCCACAGCCATGGCACGCGGGCCCAGAGCTGCAAGGGCTACAGCCTGGGCAGCCTCTTCCGCCGCTACTTCCAGGCTGAGCCCAGCGCTGCCCACTCGGCTGAGGGCGACGTACACACGCTTCTGCTGGTCTTCCTGCACCGCGCCTCTGAGCTACTGGCCTGGGCCGACGAGCAGGCCCGCAGCTGGGCCCAGGTCGAGCCCATGTACACACCGCCCGATGGCCCCAGCCTTGAGGACTGAGCACCAGGGGCCCTGGGATGCGCATTCCGGGACGAGGCCCAGTTCCTCACCATGGGCAGCACCAACCTGGAGCTGCTCAGGTGGGACTGCACGCAACCCGCAGTCCCCCTTCACCAGGCAGTTCCAGGTCCAGACAGCTGCCTGACCTTCCCAGACCCTGGCCACGCTAGTCCCACAGCCCTAGAACCTTCTCCCAGCCCCATCCCGTCTGCAACTGTGCTCAGTGCAGTTTGCTGCTATGGGCGCCTGTCCCTCAATGTGTCCATCAATAAACTCCCTCAACTGCTCACCAGCTACCTTGCCAGCCGTCCCCCACATCCTGCCTGGAGGCGGCAGGGAGTAGGCCAGGCCAGGAGCTAGAGCAGAGCCTCCCGGGCTGCCCTCTTGTGGCCTGTCCGTGTGAGCGGCCGGGCCTCGGGCGTGGGGGTGCGGGAGAGGTGGGTGTGGGGGGGGGTGGTGAGCAAACATCAGGGGCAGGGTGGAGCTCTGGGTCCCAGCCCATAGGCCGCCTCTGTGGCTGTCTCCTACCTTGGCCTAGATTTGTCCAACCTCCGTTGCCCACTGCCCCCTATTGTCGCCTCAGGGGCCCAAGAAGTCAATGAGCCCAGACTTAGGGGGTTTGCGCCACAGAGCATAATGGGGAGCACCTGCCTGCCCAGGTGCACAGGGGGCTCTAGAACTCCCTCCCCTCTGGAGCTTCTGTCCCACACTGCCAAGTGCATGAGGATGATGTGCTCTGAGGCCGGGCCTGGGCATGCCCTGACCGCAGCAGGCACCTCCATGGAAAGGGCCTTGAGGGCCAGGTCCAGTGACAGGTGGGCGCACTGAAATGAAGTGTGCTGGGTGAGGGCTGCAGTGGGGCAACGCCTAGGATGGGGTTCCTCCTGGGCTCCATGTCCCTTGTGCTCGGGGAGGCGGCCACCTCAGCTGGGCTCTGGGAAGCTGATTCTCCTGTCTGGGCCCCACCTGTGTCGCCAAACGATGGGGCACGGCCGGGGCAGGATGTCCGGGACCAGGTTGGAAGGGGCAGGATGGGTGGGGCGGCCACACCCAAGAGTGACTCGCAGGAGCAGAGGCTGGCACCAGCTGGGCCTGTTCGGGGCACCCTAAGTAGGTCAAAGTGACTAGAGACACTGCAGTGCTCAAGGCGGCGGGTGATGAGGCCGACACGGCGGCCACCCAGGCCATTGCTGAGCATATACCAGCTCTAAGCAAAGGCCGGGCAGATGTAACTTCCGTTTGCACGATGCAGCTCGGGCTGCTCTGCAGAGAATGAACTAGAGCAGGTTCAGAGCAGGGGAAAGGGGACGGAGGCCCAGGGAATGAGGGGGTCGGGGCTCTGCGAGGGGGAGGCCCAGCCACTCCGAGGACCAGCTGGCAGGGCTAGAGTGGGGTGGGAGGCAGGGGAAGGCCTGCAGGTGGCTAGTTGGAGAGCTTCCCAAGAAAGGGTAGTTGGGGCCCTGCCCTGGGAGCGCACCCACTCTGGCGTGCCGCCAGGTTGGTCCAGGCGTGAGGCCGAGGGGGTCCCTCCTCCTTTGACAGGCAGGCCAGGAAGGGCTGAAACCCAGGCCCCAGTGGGCTGCTGGACAGTCCCAGGTGCTCAGCGGTTCCCCGCCCCCTCACCCCTCCAGGCGGCCTTGGCCATGCCGGGGGGCCTCGTGGTGGCCTGGCCTCTGATTCCGTGCTGAACTAGCCAGGCCCCGCTTTGTTCCTCTGTGCGACGCAGACGGGCTGGGGCCTGCAAGCTGTGATGTGGTGACAGATGGGTGACAACCCCCTCTCCGGGAAAGTCAGAGAGAGAGAGAGAGAGAGAGAGAGTGTGCACACACGTTTATTGGAGCTTTTAACGCTATATATAAAGGGTGTGAGAACACAATTCACAAAAAATAAAAACTACAAGAGACAAACTTTGCGAAACCATATCCAACGCCATGGCCGGCGCACCCTCACAAAATCCCTTCATCGATTTGTGCTGAACCCCGGTCCGCATGCCCAGCCCGCCACGGCAGCTGACACCCACGTACAGTGAAACGACAAAGTCGGCGTGAGCCTCCTCGCTGGCCGGCTGGCCGTGTGGACACCGGAAAGGTGCTTCCCGGAGGCCGTCCACAGCGCGCGGGCCACAGCGAGGTAACGCCAGCCCGGGCGGCGAGTGCTGCGCCCGTGGCGCGCGCACATGGGCCGCGGGGAGGGGGTGGAGGAGGTCTGAGTTAGCCCCGTGGGACGCCGGTGCTTCCTACGTGGGCACAAGAGTGAAATCAAGGCCAAGCGGGTTTCAGGCCCCGAGGCGCAGGAGAGAAAAGCAGCATCTGAGCGTTTCCTCCAAGGCTCGGATTCGGGCGGCAGAGCCTGCACCGTCCCTGGGCCAGCCCGGGCAAGCGAAGCTGCCCACCGTGAGCTGAGCGCCGGGGCCGCTGGAGACGAAGGGGAGGGGCCCCACCCACAGCCACCCTACACGGCCGTGCCCCGGCACAGCCTCTGCACGCGTGACCTGCCCTGCGATTAGCTAATGAGCTTCAGCCGGGCCCGCATGTCTGTGTCCTGTGTCACTTTCCAGCCAAGAAATGGCGCGCCTTTGTTCTCACCCCCGGCCCCCAAACCCATAGAGCCCCATTCCCTTTCTTTACTGGGGAGGCAGGTTTGAGTGTATCGCCTTCGCCCTTGCCTAGCAATTGGCAGTAAAGCCGACTTCGCAAGCACCTCACGCGGTGAGCCCCGTGCGTGTGTCGGCGGGAGACCCCCGGGCCGGGCGCCGCGGGAGGGCGGCACCAGGATGGCAGCGCGCTGTGGCGAGGCCAGCGAGACGCCGCCTTGGCAGGGCCGCCTTTGTTTTCCGCATAGTTTAAGGGGAATTGCGAAGGCGCTTTTTAGCCCTGGTGCTGGGGTTTGGCCGTCATCTCTCAACGTCCTCCGCGCCCCCCACCCATTCGAATGTCTCGCACCAAGAGACCGGCCGTCCCGAGTGCATCCACCACAGGCCCCCACGGTCCCACTCCCGCGGGTGGGTTTCCCCAAGAGAAGTGCACGCATGTGCACCCACAAACACCCGCCAGGCCTTCCCAGCTCGTCCACCAGCACGTGACGGTGACGAAGCCGCGGAGCGCTGTTGAGGACTAACAGGGCGCTCTTGAGACACAGAGCAATTTGGGGGGACTCAGCAATTACACTGAGGGAAAGGGGTCAGACCCAAAGAGCCCACGGCACTGCCCCTGCTCGCCCTCGACAGATGTCATGTCAGTGGCTGACAAGTCACATCAGGCGGCCAGGTGTCTGCCAATGGGGGAGGGGGCGCACAGCTGGGATCACAGCATACTTGGGGTACCTCTGATGCCAGCTGATGGAAAACGGGATCACATGCACAGAAGGGTGGATGGTCAAAGGGCCGAAGTGTCTCCAGCTGTCTGTGCAGGACACAGCAAGAAGCACAAAGTGGGGCCAGGCCGCTGTGCCAACCACGGGCCGGCCTCCGTGCCCTGGTTTCCCGGGCAACCCTGGATGTCTGCATTGCTGGCACACGGGTTTACACGGTGCTGCGGGGGGCCCCTGGGGGCCCCACCCCATAAGCAGCATTATGCGTGCCCTCCTCCCACATACAAGTCATTCACAGGTCCCACTCCCCACCACACGTGCTCCCCTATTCGCACCCCCACCTACTGGCTCCTGTCTCCCTCCACGCGCCTCGCCAGACGCACTTATGGTTGCACCTAAATGGGGTCTCAGTAGATGCTGCTTTAAGAAAACCAGCACCTTTGCTGTTTGAGGCCTGGGAGGGCTCCGACGTGCGCGGCCAGAAGCCGTCGCATCTGCAGGCTGCTCTCCCAGGGAGGCGTTGCGTTGAGTTTCGGCGTTTGTTAAGCCTTTGCGCCCCCTTTCGTTATTTCTGATTGTACTGGGTAATGGCTGGCAGTGTCGTGGAATGAAGGGGCCACGAGCTCCAGGCTTCTCCAGGTTGGGGAGCTGCAGGGCTCTGGGTGGGCCCAGCCTGGATCAAGGAAAGTAAAGGTCCTGACTGCATACTGAGCCCCTCCACAAACGCAGGGAAGCAGCAACCACCTTGGCTACTGGATCTGAGGGGCACTGAGTGCCTGCCACGCCCGTCCCAGCCGGGCGGCTGCTGAGCTCGGAGAGGTGGAGAAACAGCCAGGGGGTGGCCTCCATGTGCGACGGTGCCCCCTCCCCCCCAAGCCCTCAGTGGCAGGCGGCCAGAGATCTGCATTTCAGAGGCACCTTGCGCGCTCTAGAAAGGACGTCCTGGGCTGGGAGGCTTCCTTAGACCTGAGGACAGGCACAGGGGAGGCGTTTCCTTCTGACTCGGAAAACTCCAAGTGCGACCCACATCAGGCTGGGCACTCTCCCAGGCCCAGACGGTGCCAACCCCCGCCCCGCCCCCGGAGCCCCGCCCCAGAGCAGGCCCCCTGCCGGAGCCTGCCCCACCCCGAGCTCCTGCGGGTGCAGTGGTCGCTGGCATCCAGGGCTCCGGCGGTGGGCTCCATGAAGTCCCCATCACTTCCGTCTGTCCGGTGCATTTTCGGGATTGGCCCTGGGACTCGACTCTCCAGGCCCACTTGGGGCTCCCTAGGGAGGTGCTCTGTCTGGGTGAAGGGTCAGCGTCCAGTAGCGCTGAGTGCACTCAGCGACTGGCCTGGGCTGGACAGGCCCATGACCAGCAGGCTCTGGGCAAGTGCTCCTTGCCAGCTTGCAGGGCAGTGCTCCTGGGCTCGGCGTCCTTAGAAAGGCGTAGCCTGGCCAGACACCCGGGCCAGACCAGCACCCACGGTCACCATGTGATGTGAGTTTCCCCTGAGGGTCTAGACTTACTTTGAAGTCATCACTAAAACTCACTTTCTTCTCTGCACTTCTCGGTACTTTGCTAAGCCCTCACACCGACTACCTTTGTTAGTAGGGCCCCTCTCTCCCGGGCCCCTCCCAGCTCCCTTTATGGGCTGCCACACTCTGGAGCCAGGCAGCAGACGGCGAGGCCCAGTCCTAGGCCCCGAGCCATGAGAGCCCTCTCATGAAAGAGCCAAGCGCAGGGAGCCTGAGGGGAGTGGGTCCGCGACCCCGGGCACCAGCGAAGGTCTGGAAGGAGCCTGTGCTACCGGACAGTGGCTTGTCCTAAACCCTTAGACTGTGCTCGGCCACCAGGGCAGAGGAGAAGCTGAACGATGATTCCAGGCCTCAAGCTCAGGTTTCCCCGAAATGCAACACTGGTGGTACAGGGGAGGTTCCATCAGACAGCGACGGCCACCTTGGCCGAGAAGCCAGTGAGTCGTGTGGGTGGCGAGGCAC